CTGGCTTGGGCATTTGTGACTTATTCATGGGTTTATCTGTCAGTGCCTGACCAGGCAGCTTGTGTCTTGTTCTTCATCAGTATGCTGTCTTGAGCTCGCTTAAGACTATGGTGGAGAGAAAATAGAGAACTGGGTCGAACTGTCCCCAGTAGCCACAGTGACAGAAGAACCCCATGACTCCACAAAACCTAGAGAAACCCATCTCAAATGTCTAGCCCTGTGTGCTTGTAGCTCCAAAGACCACATTAAGAATGAGGAGGCCACCTCCTCCCATTCCACTAACCTGAGAAATCTCATCATACAGAATCCATGTTCTTTACAGCAACTGCCCAAAAAATGTGATGTGAGTGAGAATTTAAAAAGGGAAATGCTAACTCTTATTGACTTGATTGGCTTATGTTACTATAACAGACTGATCACTGGTAATTTATAAAGAAGAGAAAGTTATTTTCTTACAGTTCTGGGATTGAGAAAGTCAGAGATCAAAGCTCTAGCATCTACCAAGGCATTTCCTGACTGAACTGTCACATGGCAAAGGGCATGAAGGTGAGAGAAGAACCAGTTTCCTCATGCCCATGTTGTATGGCACTAATCCACTCTTGAAGGCAGAGCCTTCATGATCTAAGCATCTTCTATTAGGTCCCAACTCCCATCTCCGGCCGACTGGGGACCAAGTTCCTAACACATGAATTCCAGATGACACATTCAAACTACAGCACTCTGATCTGTGTCCCCTATAATGTATGCTGTTCTTTCAGGCAAAACATTCATTTTATCAAAATAACCCCAAAGTCTCAATTCATCCTAGCGTTAACCTTAGAGTATAAGTCCAAAATCTTATCTCAACATTGTCTGAGTGAAGATCAAAATGTAATTTATCTTGGGACAGGTTTACCTCCACCTGTGAGCTTGTGAAAACAAAAATAGTTCTATGCTTCTAAAATACAAGAGTGGGACAGGCATTGGATAGATTTCCTTCTTGCTTGATGTTACTTATTTAAATAAAATGAATTTTACATATTTTTCAGGTATTCAGTTTTAAGAACATAATGTCCCTTCCTACCTTCCCTCCCATTCTCTTTCCTTTCCTATTATTCTTTTAATTTTTGTGATGTCATATTTTCAATTTACTGTATAACAAAATGCTAAATCCTTCATTCAATAAAAAATTTAAAAACACAGCAGGTAGACTGTTCACAGGAGTATAGACAGAGACTAAACATAGTAATCAAATTTCAAGATGTCAAGTTCATTTATATACATTACTTTTTGTAGTCTATATGTTAGTGACAGCATCAGAAAAAAATGGCAACTAAATTTTTGGAGTAGCTTATTCACCAAGCATAATAGTGTCCAATAGTATCTGTTTTTCTGAGAAAGGCAGAAAGACAGCAATTCCCACTTGAAAGAAACAGGCCAGAAGAAAGGAGTAATGCGTCCTGAGAAAGCCCAGAACTCATCAAAATGAGCAACATGGAGTCCTAATGTTTGAATATTATCTTTGGGACTTCATGTCCCACCTCCAGAGACACTTGGGTGGGCCCTCAGGCAGCCCCATTTCCATGGCTTTGGTGAGCTCAGCCCATGTAGAAGCTCTTATGGGTTAAAGTCTTGTGTCTGCACCTCTCCCAGATGATACCTCCACAGTTCTGGGGCCTCAGTGGTGGACCTGACTCTAGCTCCACTAGGGATTAATCCTGGTGCAGCCTCTGTGGGACAGTTCTGATCCAGTGGCAGGCTGTTGCTGCATTTTTGACATCTAGGTGGAGGTGACCATGTCATGACAACTTGCACACTCCCTGTACCTCCAGAATTATCATCATGTAGATGTTCCCAGAGCAGGCCACACCAGAGAAGTGACTGAAGCCACCTATACCTGGTTAAGCTATCGCTTTGGTAGTCAAGTGACACTGAGCCTTGAGGACTCACAGTTGCCCTGTTTCTATCTCCTAAAGCTCTTCCGCCTTTCATCCCCAGGAATTCTTTGCCCCTGATGGTAGAGGCATCATCAAGGCTCTCTGAAATGCTTGCGGGACATCTTCCCTTTCTCTTGATGAGAAGCACCTAGATCGGATCCTTTTTATCCATACCAGTTTATCATAGAAACCCTTCATCACATCTTTGGCTTTTACCCCTAAAAAATGGCCATGCTAGGGAATTTCCTTACTTCTATGTTATGACTTCCTTAATTTTTTCTAAATAAAATGTGTATTTGAGAGAGAAATTTTCGGAGGGCTGACATGATGACATAGCATGCTAATCTACCTGCAGCACTAGCATCCCATATGGGTACCAGTTTGTGTTCTGTATGTTCCACTTCAGATCCACCTCCCTGATTATGACCTGGGAAAGCAGTGAAAGATGGCCTATGTTCTAGGATCCCTGCACACTTATTGGAGACCTGCAAGAAACTCTTGCCTTCTGGCTTCAGATGAGCTGTTCTATCCACTGTGGCCACTGGGGAATAAACCAGAGGAAGACAGATCTGTCTCTATGTCTCTCATTTTCTCTTTTAACCTGCCTTTCAAATAAAAATAAATGTACCTTTAAAAAATATTGTAAAGAGAGGAGAGAAGAGAAATGAGAAAGAGAGTAAGAGATAAAGGGAGGGAGAGAGGGAGAAAAAGAGCGAATGTTCCCACTCATCGGTTCACTTCCCAAATGGCTGGAATGACTAGAGGCAAAAGCCTAACACTGAGTACTCAATACAGCTTCTCTGTGAGTGGCAGATAGCCAACTACTTGAAGCGTCCCCATGGCCTCTCATAGTTTGCATAAATAGGAAGTTGGAATCAGGAGCTGGATCTAGCCATAAAACCCAGATATTGCCACATAGGACCCAAGTGTCTTAACTGGCATCTCAAACAAAGACCAAATGGCTGCTTCTTCCTCCATTTAGATTCTGTTTATATCACTTCTCTCCTCTCACATCTTACTATAGGCAGTTAAAATAAACCACACAGTTTCCTCAGTATTTCACAGAAAATACTTAAAATCTTAGTTCATTGCTCTTACATTCTATCTTCCTTAAAGTCCTTAGACATGGGAACTATATGGCCTATTTATTTACAACTTGGTGACAAAGAAGGCCTTTTCCCAGTTTCCAGTCTTCATTTCCATCTGAGACTTCATCTGAATTGCCGCTATGGTCTCCATACATTCTGATCATGAACATGTAGGTAGTCTACAGAAAGTTTCAGACCTCCCCTGCAGCTCCTTCTTTAGCTAAGCCCTCAGCAGAACCAACCTTAATGGTCTGTCACAGCAATCCTGGCTTTCTCCAACATTCACCTCCAAACAAGGTTTGCAAGGTGTTAAGGGCTGTCTTGCTGCAATGATCATATAGCAGAGAGCAGGAGGCAGGAGTGCAAGAAAAGGAGGCACTTGCGTAAGTCAGAGCTCTCATGACTCAGCACATCTCAAGGGGCATCATCTCCCAACAGTGTCACATGGGGAATTATGTTCGCATTGCATGGATTCGGGAAGGCAAATTTAAACCAAAGCACTTGTGAGGAAGAAGCCTGTTTCATCAGAAACACCAAGGCACTTGGTATTAAACGACCAGACATGGACTAACTCAACTGGTTGAACTAGGATCACCTAAAGGCAGTTCTCCAGATATTCTTATCCCTCTTTAGGGAACTTCAAGGAGGGCTTCTCACAAGTTTAAGCATATCAGTGACTTAATAAGCAATTAGCATTACACATGTTTAATGTTTAATCTGCCATTTTTTAAAGAGACAGGCTGACATAATTGCCATAGGTACCTGTGAAGATGTTCTTAATACCAACTTGCCACCTGTACAGGGAGAATATTAGCGTCATCAGCAGTGAAAGGGAAACAAAAGTACTCACTTACACTTCCTATGTCAAACTATAATGAAATTAATTTTCCATGTCATAGCCCCGAAACTCTTCTAAAAATTGCACAGTATGAGACAGGAGGAGGACTGACCTAAGCTAGAGAATTTCCATTCTTGCCCTGGGGAACTCACTGTTCTCCTAGAAGCCAACATAAGAACAGGAAATGATCAAGATGTGTCAGGTCCCCCCATTCCCGGCTCAGGGCAGTTCCAGTTTTTATTTGCCTAACATTGGAGTCCAGTGCATGCTTTTTGTGCACATATACACATGACTGGAGACAACCAATCTTACATGCTGACTGATGAAGTAAAGTAAGAGCTAGAGAGACCAAGCAACATACCCAGTGAGCACAACTAAAAGGTGACAGAAGCTATGATCATCTCACTTTCTAGCAGGTAGACTCTCCATGAAAAGAGCCTTTTGCCATAGCACTTCATTCTTTATGAGACACTAGAGTGCTTTGCCAACTCCAGAGAATTTTCTCCATGGAGAATTTGTGTTTGTAGAGTACACACCTTGCTTTCTAGAGAGTCTAAGAACCACTTAGAACCATGACTGCCAGCAGAACCATTTTGGGGACAGGTTGTGGGCTCTGTGTCCAGTAAGGAAACCATCATTCTTCTTGGACCCATGGAAGCTAGTTTAACTCTTACTGTACCTTAGAGAAGCCCATGCAACATTATACGCCTGCAGTTTCCTTTTGCTACCTAGAAAGTGGGAGGCTTATTCCAGTGTCTCGGGAGAGGCATCTCTCCACTACTTCATGCCTTTATCTGAAGTAGTGATTTCCAACTCAACGCAGATGCTAGAATTAACCAGACAATTGTTTAAAAAACATTAATTCCCACATCAACTTTCAGTGATTTTTAGTTCTAGGTGAGGAAGTAATCTGAGCACGATTCTTAAGAAAATTCTCCAGGTGATTTTCAAGTGGAGCATACTACATAAAGACGTATTGTGCCAGGTGACAGCTCTGTTAGCCTGAAAAAATTACTGTTTCATGGGAAGAATGTCTACCCTTCTGAGACTTTCTAGAGTTTCTCTTTGATGCTGTTTATGAATATTTCCAAAATACACAGCACATACACTCTTGTGTGTTTACATGTTAGTTTCCAGCACACTGGAGAATAAACTTACCATGTCTTCTGTTGATGCTTTCTGTTCCGCTTCCCAGCTTATATGTCTGCTGATCTTTGTAACAGGATCACAACTTATGAGGAGCTTTAAGGAAAGAAATGGATTTTTAGATTGGCATCAATATGATGGAAGATTATTTTTCTAGTTCTAAAGGAGAATTATACTCCTCTTCGACCTCTGAGTGTAACTTTACACATATATCCACATTTACAAAAAAATAATAGAAGTGCTTGTATGCCACCATTTATGCATTTGAGATCTGCTGGGGAGAGGGCATATGAATCAAACCAGAATAAAGTAGCTTGCCCTGATTACAATGTCTAATGTAAAACAACAACAGTTTTCTCCGAGGATGTGGAGGAAGGAGAACTATATCCTGTTGGTACAAGTGTGAATTGGTACAGCTGTACAAAAAACAATAAAAGCAATACAGAGGTTCCTCAGCAAATCAAAAACAGAGCTATCACACGACTCAGTCACACCACTGGGTTTATATGCAAAAGAAGTCATGTCAGAGAGAGAACTGCAGAAGCTGCCATTGTGGATGCAGCAGCTTAAGAGAACACTGACAGCCCATTTCACAGTGCCGGTTTCAGTCGCACAACCTTGTTTCTGATCTGGGTCCCTGCTAATGTGCCTGGGAAGAAAGTGAAAGACAGCCTAAGTACTTGGGCCTGTGTTACCCATGTGTGAGAAAAGGATGGGGTTCCATGATGCTGACTGCAGTCTGTATGAACCCTGCGAATTGGAGTCAGGGAATGAACTAGTGAGTGATAACTCACTTTCTCTCTCCTCTCTGCTTCTCCCCTTCCATCTCTGCCACTCTACCTTTTCAAATCAGTAAGTAAACCTTACTTGAAAAAAAAAAGCTATCCATATTCTCATGTTTATCATAGCTCCATTCACAACAGCCAAAATACAAAATCAACCAAAATTATCCATGGTTCAATGGAAAAAGAATGTAGTCACAAAAGAATAAAATTCTTTGATTTGCAGCAAAAGAATGGAACTATTGGATATTAGGTTAAGTCAAACATGATAGGCACAGAAAGAGAAAATACTATATGTTCTCTTTCATATGTGGAAACTAGAAAAGTCAGTCTCATAGAAATCATGCAGAATAGAATAGTGGCCACTGCAGGGTAGGTGTGGGGGGGAGAAAGATTAAACAAGAGGCATAAATTCTAATACTGTACAGCAGAATAGTCTGACTATACAACCAAATATTCTGTAGTTAATAAAGAACTAGAAGAGATGCCAAGGTTTTTAACACAGTGGAATAATAATATGTAAGTAGCTGGAAGTGCTAATTACCCTAAGTTCATCATGCATTGTATACATGTCTCATACCTTCATATTTATGTATGTTGTAAATATGTATGATTCAAAATGAATACACAAAAGTTACAAAGTAGCAGCACAAAAAGAATGCACAATGGAAAAAGGATTCTCTTCAATAAATAATATTGTTGAAACATTACATTCAAATGTGAAAATGATACTAGACCCTACTAAACATAAACATGAACTCAGTGAAATCAAGAATTAAATGTAAGACCTTAGACTGATAGGAAAATATGGGGAAATTTTTATGTCTTGGTCTTTTCAGTTCCTTTCTGGATATGACATTAAAAGCACAGGTAGCAAAGGCAAAAATGAGCAGGTCATGCTGCAAACTAAAATCATCAATAGAGTGAAAAAGAAGCCTAAGGAATGGAATAAAACATTTGAAAATCATATCTGATGATAAAGAGTTTATTTCCAGGAAGGTAAGTAAGTATATAATAATATGATCATCATCAGTAAATGCACATCGAAATCTCAGCTGCCAGTTCATGTTTCTGTATGGTATTCACAAAAAATAGTAACTGCAGGTGAGGATATGGAGAATATAAGCCCTTAGCACATTGCTGATGAGAAGGCAAAAAGATGCAGACAGTATGGGAAACAGTACAGAGATTACTCAAGAAATAAAACAGCTATCATACAATCTCAATCTTAGAAAAAAATAAATTCAAAAAGATATTAGTGCTTCCATGTGCATTGCTGTATTGTTTATAGCCAAGATATTGAACCAATGTAAGTGCCTACCAACCAATGAATGAAGAAATGTGGTATAAACATATAGTAATGTGTCATTCATCCTTAAAATTAAGAAAATTCAGCAATATAGAGTAACATAGTTGAACTTTGAGGCTGATATGAGAAATAAGTTGGTAAAGATTGTATGATTCAACTTGCATAAGTGATCAAAAATAATTAAATTCATAAAATTAAGGACTGGGATGATGGTTTCTGGGTCTTGGTGTAAAGGGAAATGAGAAACTTAATTTGCAACCACAAAGTTTCAGTTAAGTAACATAAATAAGCTTTAGAGATTTGTATCTATAATTAACAGATACTTAAAATTTGTTGAGTAGATTTCATGTTAAATTTTCTTGCCACTACAATTTAAGAGTCACTATAACAGTAGTGCATAGACACCTTAGAATCCAGCCCATTCAAAAACTTGCGAAGACCATCATTATTGACAAGCTCCTCATTAGATAATTAGCCGAGAGCAGTTTGGGTATTGGAGAAATATCAGTTCTCCAAGGCAAAGCATGTTATATGACATTGTAGAACTTATCTTGTCCAACTATGGTGTCATACCATTTAAAAGAATAGGAAGTATCATTAAATGGAATAAGGCTGGACAAGAAAGTAGGGCAGAGTGGGAGATGGAGCACGTGGAGGCACATGCAAAGAGTCACTTTGAGAAAACACAGACTTCATTTGTTTTTCTGAAGCCAAATAAATTTATTTGCTTCAATTTTCCTCTATCACACAACAGGCCTGGTACACAGGGACTGTGTTATCACAGTCACTGATGAAATATTTGTATGGAAACCAACTGATAATTCAACCAATGAGATGAATTCAGGTCCTACTCTGAAGGATTAAGAAAACTATTACTAAGGGAATATAAATATACTGTGTGTTAAATCTGGGGAACATGATGGGAAGGGAAATGGAGAGGGAAGAGGAGGAGGGCAGGGAAGACTCCCATACACTGACAAGCTGTACTGTGAAAAATAATACTTGAAAATATTAAATTGGTTTGCAAAATTCCCTATTTGATTCTATGCATCCAGTGTTGAGAACATGGCTCCAAACAGATGCTGGAGGCAGCCTGGATTGCAAGGCTCATAGACATTATACAGTGCTTTCTCTGAGCCACCTTTTCCCTCCTTATGGTTTCAGTTTTATACAGACGCTCTCTTTGAAGATCTTGCATGTGCTGTTCAAATGAGGTACAAGGGCCATGCTCTATGCTACTGGGCATAAAGATATTTACTAAATTAAGAGAAATTGTAGATATCCAAGAAATGTTTTCTCCATGAACTGCTTTATCTTGGAGGCATTCAAATTCAACTTGCTATTGATATTTAAAACATGTTTTTCAGAGTATGCAATATTAATATATAATTCAATAAACATACTTCCTCAAGTTCTCTATTGTACATCCACATTATGTGAATCCATTTAGCATTTAGCTAGGTGGGTGGTTTAGGTAGACACATTTCAACCCATTTACAAACCCTTGAAAAGAGTTGAAAATACGTTATTGTCACTTTCCTCATTGTTAAAGAGAATTTCCAGAAAATTCAAAATATTTTTGCTTAAGTGGCCTTTAGTAAATATTTGTATTATGAGAGAGATATTTCTTTCACACCATGCTATAAACAATGCCATAGCTTCTGTGCAATATAAATAACACAGGGTTGTATTATTTTGATATTTGATTGGTCTTGATTAAGCCCATTCTTTCAAATGTTGCTCTGTTTTCTATCTAGCTCAGTTAAATCATATTCTCAAAGGCATAGAGTCTAAAGATGTCTTAAAAACAAACATAATTGGATGTGACCAAAGGTTGCTTGTAAAGAGAGTTACCTGCTTTCTTTGGCAACTGTAGAATAAATGGTAGAGGAGAGGAGACAAGCTAGAGAGTGTTGTAATTGTGGTATAGTATCTGTTTCCTGCTGCTTAGTATTAATTAGGTCCACATAAATTCCTGAACAGGCCGTGAGTGGACTTGATCCAGTTATCTTTTCAAGCCAGGTTCTCTTATACACAATGAAGACATGAAAGAAGTCACTGGATATGTTCTTACACACCCACAAGGAGGAAGGTCAGTAGGTTTGATCACTAAGATTTCCGAATACCATTCATGACCTGAACTGTGGAACAGCAACTAATAAATGTTGCCAAAAGCAATCCAGAAAAGCAAGACAGTTCCCCAGTGGATAAGAAATCTCCAACTTTCATTGAATTCTACGTCCATTCTCATGAGTCTCTTGTGTTCAAATAATTAGTGAAGCCTAAGTTTAACTGGGAGTATTATGAAAAGAACTCATTCTAGAGACTGAATGAGAAGATAGGACCTATTTTTAAAAGTAGGCTTTGTTTGCCATTTATGCACATTATATACACAGAGAAAAATTAAATGTACCTCCAGGAAGGACAATGGCTAGCCTCGCCCCACTGCAAACACCTCAGTGTTCTTTAGACTTTGTCCTGCTGCTTCATTGCTGAAGCGGCACAAACACGCTATGCATGCTGCTCAGGGGATGCTCATCATCCCATTTCCCAAAGACAGTATTTTATATCAATTTAACACTAGGATATATACAAAATATTATTTACTACTTCTACTTTTCATACTTTATGCATTTCTAAACATTTAGAAAGACTAGATGTTTCAAATAAGACTTAAATTTGTCTACTATATACACAGTAGTGTTTAATAAACTACACATATGTCACTGGTTGTATCAGAAAGTGTCTTCCAGGAGGGAAGGCCCAGAGCTGGGCAGGGGGTTGGACACTATTTACACGATATTGAAACAGGAGGCTTAGTGCAGCCGCTTCCATCAAACAAGCAGTCACAATTCTGCTTAACAATAACCCAGTTGGAGGATAATCCCTAGTGGAGCCAAGCTATCTCAAAAGGCAACATAAACCACTGCTCTGAGAAGCTGCACACCCCACTTAGAGTCCGGGTTGCTTTGAGCTATAACTTATCTGAAGTTTACAGTTCAGTG